GCTGACAGTTACACAGCTACTGTCTGCTGTACTCATGCCCTCCACACACGCTGGTAGTTCAGTTCCTCCTAGAGTCATGTAAAAAATAACCTCCCTTTAGCAATTATAAACTATATCAGCAGAATTTGCTGTTATAATTGGAAGGCCCAGTGCTCTGTGTACTGTGCTTATGCAGAATGGTTGGATGGGAGAGGTGTCAAAGGGGTAAAATTATCAATAAAACTTGGTAAAGCTTGATTTATGAAGCCGCTATTCTTCATTTTGTGGTCATATTCATTTCCTGGTTTTTTTACTTGTTTCCCAGAATCTGCAGAAGAAAAAATGGAAATAGATGTGGGAACCACAACAGTCGTGTTCCAGTACAGAGAACAGGCTGAGTGTGCGTCATCCCTGAACAGCGCCAACTGGAACCAAGCACAAGGTATTCCCTGTTTGACACATGAATCCCTGAATCCAAATATACAAGTTGATGTCTGCACTCCACATGCACTTACTCCTTGTTGCCGGCAGAGGGCAGCACTGGGCTCGCAGGTGGCGTGACACTGGGGAGGTACAGACTGAGGGAGTATCAGAAGGAACTGGCGATGCCGGCTTTGCAGGGGAAGAACACGCTGATCTGCGGCCCTACAGGTCCCCCCATACTGCTAACGACAGCCAGCAGTACCTCAGCTGGCTTTTCATTACTGCCAAATAACGTGCTTTGTTAAAGAGAAAATTCTTGTGTAAATGTCAATGACCCCCTAGAGATAATACACTACATGCACTGAGCAATTTGGTTTCCCTGTCCGTCACTTCAGGCTGCGGAAAGACCCTCGTTGCTCTTGCCATCTGTGAACATCACCTGAGATCTAAATCAGAGGCCAAGATCGTCTTCTTGGCCACCAAGCTGGTTGTGTATGAGCAGCAGCTCAGGCTGTTCCTCGAGTACTTTAACAGCACCGATGCAGGCATCAGGTGAGTCTCACACATGCTCTTTTGATGTATGCCATGTAAGGATTAGTCGGTTTTTCATCTGCACACCACTCTGTTTATAGAATCAAAGGCGTTTGTGGGGACATGGAGGACCAGGTGTCCATGGATGTCATCGTTGAGGGGAATGACATCATTGTGTTGACGCCTCAGATCCTTCTGAATGCTCTGAATAAGGGGACTGTGCCCTCGCTCTCCGTCTTCACACTGCTTATTTTCGACGAATGTCACAATGCCACCCGGAAGCACCCCTACAACATGCTGATGGGCAGATACCTGGACTCCAAACTTAGCCAGCAGCACCAGACGCTTCCTCAGGTATGTCAGACTTTTATTGTATGAAAGTACGCTGAAGGCCAGAGGAGAGAACAAATAAACAAAAACATGTCATCTATGGCCAAGAAATGGTTTTATTGTGTTATTCCTTGCCCTATCATACATAATCAAACTACAACTTCCAATAAATTCAGCTCATTCATTTCACATTTTCTATTGACAGAATTAGAAATTTACAAACTAAAAACAACAATAGCCTTTGTTTCAAAATTCTTCATTAAATGTTCTTTTTCCATATTTCTTAATAACTGAACACAGCCAGTTTGCATGTCGTGTGGATTTCCAGTTTTCTCCCGCAATCCAAAGACATGCCGATAGGACATGGGCGTAATTTGGGGGGGGGGATGGGTTGTCAAATCAATAAATCCCATTTAAATACATTTTCAGATCGTGGGCCTGACGGCTTCAGTGGGAATTGGCACTTTCAGGAACTCGCAGGAAGCTGAAATGAACATCTGCCAGTTATGTGCCAACCTGGACACGAGGATCATCTCAACTGTCAACAACAACAAAGAAGAACTTCAGTCGTTCGTTCACATTCCTGAGAAAGGTAGAGGCACACTTACAAAAACGAGCATCGGATCTCCAGCCTGCACTGACCTGGATAACTGACAGGCCTTTCTTTACATTCTAGATTTTTCTGAAGTCGAAAAACTTGCCAATGATGAGTTTGTGTCCATTATCCGCAATATCATGGTCTACATTGAGAGTCAGGCCAGGCGCTGGTATGACATAGGTAGGGTTTCGGGCAGCCTGGGATCCTGTGTGAAGCTGAGCTTGTTCTGCACTAAGAAACAGCACCGTGACATGACTCTCTCACTACAGGGTCCCTGTCCAACCTGCAGACCTCTGAACATGGCACACAGAAGTATGAGCAATGGATCGTGGACATCCAGAAGAAGTGCAAGGTCCTGCAGCTGGAGGACAAGGAAGAGGAGAGCAGGGTGTGCCGGGCGCTCTTCAACTACATGGGGCACCTGCGGGTGAGAAGCCCCCCCACGCTGACCCACCTCACTCTGACATCCCGCTAGAACATCCCTCTTTGAGGAGACGTTGTTTTGTCTGTCCTCTTTTTCAGAAATACAACGATGCCCTCATCATCAACGAAGACGCCAGGACTAAGGATGCCTTGAACTACCTGGAGGATTTCATCAAACAAGTCAAAGACGCGGGATTTGATGAGATTGAGCAAGAATTAACTGCCCGTTTTGAGGGTACATTTAAAATGTCAGAACAGGAATTACCCTGAAATTGGCAACATGAGTTTGTGTTTTGGTAGAAGAAACACAAGGTCATGCATGAGTGTGATAAGCGTGGATGTCAGTGTCAAGGACAGCATCACTCTGCCACAGGGATCAGGGTGAGGATGCTCAGTGGAGCCTGAAAAGCCATGGTCCATGTCCTGTCTGCCTTGCAGAAGAGCACCACCTCTTGGCCATGCTGAGTCAGCGCAGAGACAGGGATAATCCCAAGCTGACCAGGCTGAAGTTCATCCTGGATGAGCAGTACACACAGGACGAGGAGACCCGCACCTTGCTATTCGTCAGGACCAGGGCTCTGACCGAGGTGGGGCTGTGAGAGCGTGGGGTGGGGCTGTGAGAGCGTGGGGTGGGGCTGTGAGAGCGTGGGGTGGGGCTGTGAGAGTGTGGGGTGGGGCTGTGAGAGCGTGGGGCTGTGAGAGCGTGGGGCTGTGAGAGCGTGGGGTGGGGCTGTGAGAACGTGGGGCTGTGAGAGCGTGGGGTGGGGCTGTGAGAGCCCAGGGTGGGGCTGTGAGAGCCCGAGGTGGGGAGGGAGTGTTTTTTTTTCTAGATAAGTACATTTGTGCTGTGTTCCATTTACCTTGAAGGTTGAAAGTCAGTGCTGGGAATTACATCACACCCGAGGTAACTGCGTTCCAGTACAAGTTGGAAAGCCATTTATCAGTACCAGTTCTGGGTACAGACGTGGAAAAATTTGTTGATACCCTTACAGCTCATTGAAACAATGCTTAATTTCTCCTAAAAAGTGATTCAAAAGTGTATACCTGCATGTGTATACCTGCATGTGTATACCTGCATGCCTTTGGTATGTGATAGAGTAAATTTGTTGGTACCCCTAAAGAGACTATTTATCCTTGCATTATAGTTATTTTTCAAACTAAGTGTTTAACCTTAATCAGTATCACAGGTGCCAAAAACATTGTACTTTTCTTTAATGGTCCTTCATGAACCCAGATCTTACTCCTATTGAACATCTATGGAAAGATCTTAAAATTGCAGTGTGGAGACACCACCCTGCAAACCTAAGATAACTTGAGCAGTTTGCTCAGGAACGGTGAGCCACACTACCGGTTGGCTAATGCAGACGTGTCATTGTGAAGTACAGTGATCGCTTGTTGCCAGTGATTGCTGCAAAAGTTGGTGCCACAAAATATTTATGAATCAATAATGAAAAGCAAAGTCTGATTTGTGTTAAATATGTAATAAACAAAAAGGGATGTTGTTAAACTTTTGTCAGTTTCAAGTTATTTCAGAGATAGTTGGGTTTTTGTTTTTTTGTGGTACCAACAAATTTGTCCACGTCTGTAGGTTCACTGTTAGCTATTGTTAGCATTACGAATTGATAACAAATTATGTGGTATTTTGTGCATAAAAACACTGTAACAACATGTCCACAGGTAGCGGTTGGACTGTATCGTGTGTATGGTCCATTTAATGAGCCATAAATTAGGCGTAAATGCTAATTAACAGCATATAACTACTTTCACTTCTGTTGATAAAGGGCAGCCATCTTGAATTCTGAGGTCAGGTTGCAGAGGTTCCTACAATTTTCCTCCGAGTCAGAATTCCGACTAGGAACTTGGAAATTCCAACTTTCAAGTTCAAATGGAACACAGCATTAGCAATGATGACGGATCTTACCTATTTGGTATTTTTACTCACCCATGAATTTCATTTTTTTAGGCACTGAAAAACTGGATTGAGGAAACGGACTCCTTGAGATTCCTGAAGCCTACAGTTTTGATGGGCAGCTCAGGTTCTGGTGTGTAGGACCTTAACTCGTGTATCAAATGGGCTTCACTCATGTTCTTGGTCACAGGTTTTATACTGTGATCTATTTTTTATAATAATTCACACTAAGATCCTCTGTTACAGTCACACTACAAACTGTGACCTCCTCCCATTGCTTTCCTGAGCAGGAATGACACAGACATACAAGAAGGGCATCCTGCAGTCCTTTAAAAAACCGAGCGACCAAAGTAAGATCCTCATTGCCACCTCCGTGGCCGATGAAGGTGTCGACATTCCTCAGTGCAACCTCGTCTTGATGTACGAGTACATTGGAAACATGATCAAGACCGTCCAAGTCCGAGGTGAGTGCTGCTTGGGGAACCAGGGCTCCAAGCCTGCTGGGCCTCTCAGCACACTGCGGCTGGGCTCTGATGGTTTGAACAGCTAAAATTCTGCCTCATGTGTCACCCGCATATCCAGTGCTAACGTTTAATTCCAGGGCGCGGCCGAGCAAAAGGCAGCAAGTGCATCCTCATTTCCAGCAGAAAGGAGCGGATCGAGAAGGAACGACAGAACATGCTTCAGGAGAAGATGGTGGAAAAGGCTGTGGCTAGACTGCAGACTTCCCAGGAGCACATGCTACAGACGGTACTGGGCTCTTACTGCGTCTCACAGAATTCAGTTCTTACAGAAACCAGCACGGCTGGGTGTGGACAGGGGGCATGGGGTCCCGGGGTTAGTTCTGATGAGATCTCGACTTTCTGTGCCAATAATCAGTACAGAAGATGAATTCCTCACCCCAGGGCTCCATGCCGACCAAGTATCCACACGCTGACGTCTCTCTTAATTTTCTAGCTTTTGCTGTTGCTAAACTCCTCTCCACCCTGATATACCTGGACTTGCTCTGCCTTCAGCATGAAGCAGAGATGTCGGGTTCCTCTTGTGGATTCAGCTGAAGTTAATACACTTTCTCTTTCACCTGATGTCCCTCAGATCGAGAGCTTACAGAAGTCTGATAAGACCACACGGGATTATGAGAAATCAGCTCCTGTCAACCCCAGAACAGAGGAAAACCACAAGCTTCTCTGTGCAAAGTGCAAGAAGTTTGCATGTTTTTCTGATGACCTGAGAGTGTTGAAGGTACGTGCACTGCACTAGCATCCGTGAGGCAGATGAGCTTAACTGTGATTTCTCTCCTGGCCATGGGATTGAAATCCACAACTTTCCAGAAACGGGCACAGATCCATAATCTAATTCTTTTTCGGTTCTGTGGCTGGGCAAATGGTCTTTGTCGTTGCCATGTAATAATATCATGTGTCAGCTTGGTGTTCTGTAGCTGGCCGTGTGGTCTGTGTCATCCCTGTGTGATGATGTCACATGTCA